CCGCCCCCACCCCCCAGGCCGAGCCCGAGGGAGGCCGGAGAGGGGAAGGAGGCGGGAGGGAGGGGGCCGCGAGAGGGGCGGGCCGACGAGACCGAGGGGACCCAGCGGAGCGCACGCCCAGGAAGGAGAGAGCGGGAGAGCTCGGAGACCAGACCCCCAGAGATGGGAGCGGAGGGTTCGAGAGAGAGGTGAGAGGGGGGCGGGCGCGAAACAGCGAGGCCACACAAGACGCGAGACAGTGATGAGAGGGTGCCACGGACGCCGAGGCGTGCGCACAGAGAAGCCGACGGAAGCGCGGGAGCCAGCGGGCCGCGACGTGCCGGAGGGCACAGAGGCAGGCACGGCTGGGCAAGGGGCAGTAAAGAAAGACCGGGGACAGCTAGGAAGGCAGCGGCCTGGCCAGAGGTTAGGGAGCCCTGGAGAGGTCGGGGGAGGAGAGGCAGAGGCCGCCCAGCTTGGCTGGGTGAGGAGTAGCCACGCGCAGCCTCCTGGCCCGCGCTCAGAGCCACCCGCCAGGGTGGGGTGCAGCAGCAGGCAGGGGTGCAATTCTCAGAGCCCTGGCCGCACCTGCGCACTCCCGCCTCAGTTTACCAGACATGGCCTCATCTGTCCTGAGCTGCCCTGAGAGGTTCTCCAGCCGGGATTTGCTTATATTGCCAAGTGATGCAGGGGCACATCCTCCTCGGAGATCCCCCTCCTGTGGGGTGGGTTCTGTCCCCCTACTTAGAGGAAGAGATGGATGCCCAGGAAGGAAATGCGGCAGCTCCACCTTTTCCCAGCTTTAGAGTAAGAGCACAGGGCTGAGCTGGATGAGGGGCCACAGGGTGCACTGGGAGTCTGGAGACAAACTCTGGCATCGCCCCTACTGGTCTCTGAGACTTAGAGTCCCCCCATATGATTGAGGGAGGTCCAGCCTTCCCTGGCTCCCCTTCATCACTGCAGAAATATAAACCCAGGTTGTGGGGTGAACAATCTCCCCAGCTGTCTGCTGAGTCTCTCTCTCCTTGGCTCTGCGACTCCTGGCAAGCCACTGCCCCTTCTGGGCCTCAGCCTCCTGACCTGTCCTGAGGAGCTGCTGTTGCAAGGCTCCAGGGAGGCTCAGATGACTGAATAGGGGGTCCTGCACCCCTGTGCCCCACAGGTCTGCTGGGGAGGAGTGCACAGTTTGTCTGGGCAAGAAGGGTGGGTTGTCAGTGGGGTGGATGTGTGTCTCTGGGAGGCTGGGAAGAGTGCCAGCCCTCCTCTCCCATCCCTCTGCCGAGGTCCTGGACCACTTCTCCCACTATGTGAACTCTGATGTCCTCTGTGTTTGCTTCTGGGAAATAGGGCCTACCATACCCATGGCCCTACTCTCTGCAAGTTGATGCAATTTCTCTAGCTCCAGCTGCTGACAATGAGATCCTGAGGCCAGTCCCAAGCCCTGGCACCTGCCCTAGACCCTTCACGAACTATGAGATGGCCGAGACTCTTTGTCCATAGGGACAAAGAAAATGTCTTACCAGAGGCTCTAAGATCCCAGCTGCCTCCCCCCACAGTGGCTGAGTGACTTTTGCTAGGGCTGCCCCTTCCTGAACATAACAGCCATCATCAGGTCTGAAAGGTGGCCTCCAGGTGCTCCACGCGTGGGTGGTCCTGTGAGTCACATGGTGGTTGTTTGGAAGGGGACAGTGTGGGACCCACTGAGAATGACAGTATCCCACACGAGCAGGCCTCCCTCCCAGTGAGAGGTGGTACGATGGTGGGTGGGGCCATGCTGCCACAGTGCAAGAGAGAAAAGCCAGTGTCTCGTGCAGCGCTGGGCAGCCCTGGACTGCACTGGCCCAGAGGCCGAGGGGGCAGGGCTGGTTTGCTGTTGCTCCCTGCATATATCAGCATCACACCCTTCCCCTCTCAGCTCCCCCCACCCCTGTAGGGCCCACTGGCCCCTGCCACCTCCCCCTCCAGCCCCTTCTCCCCCTCCCCCTCCATCTCCTCCTCCTTCCTGCTTCAGGGTCTTTCCAAGGGCATAGCCTGGGGGTGTTTTCGTTGGAGGGTTAAGCCCAGCCACCCCCATTCCATCCCTTCACTCCTATTTGCGCCCCTGATGGAAGCTGCCCAGCTTTGAACATCTCTTCCCCATTCAATTGCTATTCTGGGGGAGGGGGGGAGCGGGGTCTCAGGTTCTTTAGATGAAGACCCGTTGGGAGTCATATTGGGTATTGAGCAGCCCTCACCAAACCCATGTGGCCCCCAGTTGCCCTCCTAGGTCAGGCTTGGGGAAAGGAGGTCATTTTCAGGGTGAGACCTCATCTCTAGATTTGGGGGAGTCAGAAGACCAGCGCTGCCCAGCCCGCACCTCATTTCACAGGTGCCAAGGCCCAGAGAGCCTCCCCCAGCTCTTTGGACACCCTCCAGGACTCTTTCTCAATGGCCCAGCGAGGTCTGCGGCGCGGGAAATGAGGCCCCGGAGCTCTTTGGGGAATGCCCTTCGGGAAGCAGTCGGAGGCCTCGGCCGGCGCAAAGTACTGAGGGAGCCTGGCCCGGCACCCCCTCAGACTACCCCCAGGGGGGAAGTCCTCTGACCTCCCTCCGCCGGACGAGGTCTCCCCGCGCGGCACGATCCCAAAGCAGACCCGCAGATAAACCCCTTTTAGGCGAAAAAAATGCGCGCGCACAGCGGCAGGGCCTCCTCTGCTCGGAAACTGCAGCGTTGTTAGCCGGCAAAGGGTTCCCAGCGGGTCCCTCCTCCCGGTCCGAGCCTCGCAGCCCCCACTCCAGGGGCGCAGCAGCCCGGCCAACGCCTGGGACCCGGCAGGGGCCTCCAGCCGCTGCCGCCGCGAAAATCCCGGAAACCGTCCGCTCGCGGCGGGCGCAGTGGAAAAGGTGACCTCAGCGCCCGAGGCCAGCCACCCTCTCCCGGCGGCGGGCGGCGAGGGGCTTCGGGTGGCGGGGGGGGTGGGTCCCGGCGCCGCCCCGACGCCGGCTGGGCCCCTTTCCCCCACTGCTCTGCCCTTCCGGACCCCACAGCCGAGCTGCAGGGGAGACGCGGGAAGGGGGTTACCTCCCTCCCTAACCAGTCCCCTCAGCCCGGGTGCGCAGGTTCCAGACTCTCCCCCTCCGCCAGCCAAGCCGCCTCCGCCCCCGGAGGCTCCCGGTGGGATTCAGGAGTCGTTCGCCTTAGGGGTCCTAAGTGCAGACGGGGTCGCTGAGAGTCGAGTGCGCAGGCCTGGGCGAGATCGGCGGCCCGCGGCGGTGTTTCTGCAACGCCTGGAGGGTCCTGGGACCAACTCCCCTCCGGCCCCCACCCGACCCCCACCCGTGTCCTGGCGTCTCCTCTCCCACTGGCCGCGGGTTTGGGTCTTATGCGGCAAAACGGCGTGGGGCGGGAATGGAGGGTAGGTTGCTTCTGGACCAGTCGGCTCACCTCCGAGTGCAATCGCCCAGCAGCTGCCTGCGGGGAGTCCCACACCTCCTCCCGGTCCACAGAGCGGGAAACCGAGCCCCGACGGGCCTGCAGGCCCCGGGGGGCCCCTGCAGCCCCCTGCCCGGCGCCCCCCTCAGGCCTCCTTCCCGAGCACGCGCAACGCAGCTTCGGCGCCCCGCACGCGGGGCATCCTCCTCTCCCCACTTTGCTCCGGGAAGCCTTCAGTTCTGATGGCCCCCGGCCCGGGGCCCGCAGGCAGTGGCGACGCCCGCATTCGCTCGATCTCGGATGCGCAGCGCCGGGAACGCGCCGTCCGGCTTCGGCCTACGCTCTGCTCTTGCGCCTAGTGCGTGGATTCGAGACTGGCGACCTCTGTCCTGCCTTCTAAGCGGAAAATCTCGGGGTCCTCACGCTCGCGGGTCACATCTCCCAGGGACTGCCGAGTTACTTTCTCGTTGGAGAAGCTGGTCTCTGTGGCGCCTTCCTTTACGAAAATTTCGATGTCAAGTGGTGGACTTTTCGTTTCGGATCATTTCAAACCCCTGTGAGCTCGGGGCTCAAATCAGGTTTTGAGACAGCGACTTAAGACATCCCTCCCTCTTCCCTTCAAATTATCCCTTTTCGGGTATTTTACAAACTCGCTCCTTTGGAATGTGTTACTTTATTTTTGTTTTGTGGTTATTTTTCTTAAACGTGTGGTTTTCTTTAGAAGTGTGAATTTTAAAAGATTATAGGCAGGTAATAACGGGCCCGACCCAGCGAAGACCCAGGGCGACCTTACTGGACAAGCACAGACACCAGCTGCCTCCGCTTCACGCCCACCCCTCGGGGCTGGGTGGGAATGTCGGGCGGCTCCCGCAGGGACCTTGGATCCCAGTCCAGCTGCGCGGACCAGCGCCCGAGTCCACACCCAGGGCCCGGAAGCGGTGGCCGCTGGGGCCTCGGTTCGATGGGGCCCAGACGCGTGCGCCCAGCTGCTGGGCACCCGCGGGGAGGCCGGATGTGGGCAGTCTGGGGGGACTCGAGATGTGCCCTGCGCTTTGGGCGCTGCGCACCGGAGTGAAGGTGCCAGGCCCCGCGGAGATTGGGTCTGACTCCTGCGGGGTGCGCGTCGGGACCACGTTCGGACTCGGAGCTGCTCGGCCTTTGGGGAGAGCGAGGGTCAGTGCAGGCCGCCCGCAGGGCCCTTGTGGCTTCATCCCGGCAGGTGCCAGGTCGCCCACTCACCCGGGTCACTGGTCTTGGAGTCGGCAGATAAGGAGAGGCCCCGGGGCAGAGGCCGGATCCCTCCTGCGCCCCGGGCCAGGTCTCCTTTCTTTCGTTTTCTTTGTCCTTCCTTCTTTGCTTTCCCGCTTCTCTTCCCTCGCTCCATTCAGTACCCCTCTTTCTTTCTTATTTTACTTTCGGCTCATCCTTCTCCACCTCGCCCACCTTCTGCTCTTGCCCTCGGGCTGATGCTTCCTTCTGCCCCTCTGCTCCCCTGGCCCTTCTTTCCCCGGTTTCTTTTAGTGAGAAGGAGGGAGCCAAGCCACAGTCATCCTCCTCATAATAAGGGAAGGGATGGCACTTACGGGTGGCCCCCCAGGTGCCAGATACACAGATGCAGAACCCTTGGAGGCATCTGTGGTCTGTGTGCCTGGGCGGGGGTCTCCTTCCCAGCCAGCCCGAGAGGCTGCCCGGGGGGCCAGGCTGAGATCAAGCAACCCCAACCCCCAGGCAGGTTGAGAGGGGCATGCCGCCTCCTCCTGGTTCTGTTCCGCAGCAGGTGGGAGGCCAGATCTCGTCATCCCTGTTCAAGTAGGGACTCACACGTGCATCTCTCCTCCCTGACACAGAAATCCCTTCTCCCGAGGACTGGGGGATGGGGATGGAGCTCCAGGGGACAGAGAGGCCTACACAGCTGCTCTCCCTCCCTGATACCAGGCCAGGACTGGCCTCCAGTCCTCAGGCTGCTGGCCAGCCCTCCTCCCTCCTGCTGGTCTGAGTGAGGATGGGGTCAGGAGTCCGGGCTTTCCTGCTCCCCCCAGCCCACCACCTGTGTTTCCTGCACCATCTTGGACCTGTCCCTGGGTGCCAAGAAGGGGCTCAGAGGCCCAATTTGCAAATGTCCAAAGGCCATGGAGAACACAAAGGACCCCACAATGACCCCAGGACCCCTGCCCTTGAGCAAGCCCACTCCCTGTCCAAGCCTCAGTGTCCCCAAATGAGACAAAGAAAGGGGTGAATTGGATGAATCATCCTCCTTGCCAGGTTTAATAGCCTAGACTTGAGTCCCCCAACTTTTTCTGTAAAGGGCCAGAGAGGTCAATATTTTAGGCTTTCCACACAGACAGCATGTTGCAGCAACCCCCCTTTGCCCTAGAGTGTGGATGCAGCCAGGGGTAACGCATCCTGGCTCCGTTCCAGCGCACTTCATTTCTACACACTGACACTTGAGTTTTATTTAATTTTCATGTGTAACAAAATAGTATTCTTATTTTTATTTGTTCTGACCATTTAAAAATGTAAATGCCGTTGTCGGTGGCCAGGTGGTACAAAACCAAGCAGGATGGTGTCCTAGTCTACCATCTCATCACACAAACATACACAATTCCACTTCAGAAGTGTTACCTGACCCTCCCCCCAATTTTTTTTTTTTTGTTTTTTTTTTTGTTTTTTTCCCCACAAAAGCACCCATTAGTTTTACATCACTGGGGCCTTGGACACATAAATTATGTGGTTCATTCCCTATGACCATGTTTGACTTCTCAACGATTTAAAGTCTTCTCAAAGCTAATACTGTATTACACCTGGCTGGTTTACAGTTGTCAGCTCATTTAATAAATGGACTCTCACAATAGTCCTTAGGGATTGTTCACCCCACTTTCCAGTGCCTTGCATACTCCTGGTGACAGGGCATTCACTCCCTTTAGTGGTAGCCCTAAGAGACTCTGAGGGCTGAATCCTCTGGAGAACCCCAGCTACTGAGAGTCCAGTGACGTGCCCAACAGCCCTAGGAGGACAGAGGCCACCGTGGGTATGAGTGCTCCCTCCAGGACCCATCATTTCCCATCTCTGCTCAATTGCATCTAAATCCCCTCCAGCTGTTGAAATGTGGATGGACGAGGGGGCCACAGCCCTGATTTTCTGGACGTTTCCCAAGCCCTGAGCCTTTGCAGGCCTTTGCAGCTGCCAAGTGACAAATCTTGCAAGGAATAGGCGAGGGGGAAGAATATGACAGAGAAATAGCTATTATAAATGTGTTACTTGCTAGAAATATTTCCAGGAAATCTTGTTCCTGTAGAGGCCTCATCACTCCCCCCGCAACCATGTGCATCTTCAATGGCTCTCGCGCCCTCTGCTGGTTGGATTGAGTCCTAACCAGGCTCCCTGGGACAGTCTTTCTCGTCAAAAGGAAAAACAAGCCAGAGCTTTGTCTCCCTTTATGTACCAGACGCTTACTGGATGCTAAGGAGACAGAGGGAGAGGCATTTTATCTGTCCTCAAGGAGCACGGTGCAGCCGTGGAGAGCGGGGGACAGGACATAGCACTGAGCCGGGGGCGAGGAGCTTCCAGACACAGATGTGATGAGCTCACGAGTCTGGGGGTTGTTAACATCCCAATCAGTGGGCTGGTGGCGCTCGGTTTTTGCACGTTTGGAGAGTTTTAGTGCCAGCCACAGCCAACCTTTGGAGACCTGCCGGGCTGGAGCCCCATGCCCCGTGCTCTCCTGAGGGCCATGGATGTTTCCCAGCCCCTGATGCTGAGAAGGGGCATCTCTCCACCCAATTATGGGCTCCTGTGTGTGCCCCCTAGCTGGAATCGCCCTGGGGATGTCTGAGGAGCATGTCCTCTGAGCAGCAGCCCCCCCAGTATTATCTCATTTAATCCCACTCTAGGACAAGGGCACTTTTACCCTGAACTTACAGGTAAGGAAGCAGGTACAGAAAAGCGACTTCCTATGCCAAAGTAGCAGGGCCAGGACACCCTCCATAACACCACCGTGCCTGGGGCTCCTCCACCTTCGGACTTAACCCCCATATTCTCTCCAGCCCTGATTGCTCCCGAGGTTCAGACTAGTAGCCCTCACTGCCAAAGGTCCCCTCCAGCCAGGTGTCCACAAGCATACTGTGCTCACTGTGTTTAAGTCTGGACCCCAGCTCCCCAGGCTTCTGCTCCTGCTCCCACACGTGGGCGGGTGGGGAAGAGCTGCTGAGCAGCCACCGGGGCAGACATGCCTCCCTGCCTGCTGGCCGGGGGCCCTCGGACGCAGGCCCCATTCCAACCAGAGAGCACGCGGCAGGCAGGGCATCCCTGTTCAGGGGGCAGGGCAGCCAGGGTATTGGGCCCCCTCCACAGGCTGGCCCCTGTGTTGGCCCTGACCGGGGCCCAGCCGGGCTGTCCAGGAGAGCAGGTGGGCATCGAGGACAGAGACGAACACACATGGTGGCTTTGGGAAGAACGGCCTGCTCTGGGAACCCCAGGAGGCGTTCGGGGAGGAGGCAGCTGAGTAGGTGTTGGGGTGCGGTGGGCAGGCTCAAGAAGCCAGAGGAGCACCGTTTGCTGGGGCTGGAAAGTTCTCTGGAATGTAAGCTTGGAGGAGGGTCCAAGCGCTCCCGGGAGGTCTGGATAGTCACCTGCTTTGAGACTGAAAGGCTTGTTCCAGAAACACGGTGGTTCCCAACTGGTTTTGCATTCAGTGGTACACAGAGCAGTGTCCTCAGCCAGGGAGTTACAGTTGTAGACCCCTCTGGTGCCCAGGGACAGCTGCTGGAGACCCGGGGAAGATCCGGAGACCTCTGCTGTAAGCCGGAGCCAGACGGCCATGCACAGACTACGTGGCTCTCGGGGGTATCACTGCATGTGCTGTGAAGGGTCCGTCAGTGCACAACCTGCACGACTGTCCAGAAGTCCTGCCAAGTATTCATTGCCTCCCATTCTCATGGAGCAAAATGGGGTTAGAGAGACTGTTGTCTTTCAGCTGTTCTGTGGGCCCCTTTCCCAGATGAGGAGCCGCATGTCGGAACAAGGGGGGGAAACGCATCCTTTCAGCACACGTCACGTGAGGGATCTACCTTAGTTCAGAAATCTAGTTTTAAAATGCTTTGCTGTTTTATGTTTCTTTCTTTTTTTTTTTTTTTAAAGATTTTTTATTTATTTGACAGAGAGAGACACAGCGAGAGAGGGAACACAAGCAGGGGGAGGGGGAGAGGGAGAAGCAGGCTTCCCGCCGAACAGGGAGCTGATGTGGGACTCGATCCCAGAACTCGGGGATCATGACCTGAGCCGAAGGCAGACGCTTAACGACTGAGCCACCCAGGCGCCCCTGTTTTATGTTTCTTTACAGATTAGAATAAAATTTATCTCTTGACGTTCTGAGCAGGGACAGACACGTGGCCCACTGAATTCCGTGAGCGCCCCCTGGTGATGTGCCCTGTGTCACCTGTGGGCAGACCTGTGGTTTGATGGGCTGCCTCTCCGCCCCATGTTACCTTATCGGTCAAAAGGGATTTGCTAACATGATTAAGGTTCCTAACCGGTTGTGTTGAATAGATCAAAAGGGAGATTATCCCGGACCTGATCTAACTGGGAGACAGGGGCCTCCCTGAGGTCAGAGCGGTTCTGCAGGCCTGGAAGTTGGCTGCCACATGCTGAGGGGTCCACAGAGGGGCCACGGGACCAGGACTCCAGGGCAGCCTCCAGGAGCTGAGAACAAGTAGATTCTGCCGACAGCCTGAGTGAGCTCCGAAGTAGTTCTGTGGTCAGCTGGGCCTGCAGCTGGGCCTTTGTGAGACCGCTAGCGGAGGACCCTGCCTGCACGGCGGACCACAGACACGATGAGATGACAAGGGGGTGTTGCTCCGTTTGTGGAACGTGTTAGGCAGAGTCCAAGTCAGTAAGGAGCCCTGTGCTGTCAACCCCAACTTCTGCTCGGGGAGACGAAGACTACGAGACGACAGGACCCTCTGGGGACCTTTCTCTTTACCAGGACCCAGGGGCAAAGCTGGGAGTCCGCCCTACTGAGGGACCGCCACACGCCTGGTCCACACACGCCTGCTGACACCCGAGGAGGCCCCTTTGGCAGCAAACTGGCCACAGTGCGCAGGACCCCTGTGCCACTTCTTGCCTGGGGCAGAGAACAAAGGACGTCATACTGGTCACCTGGTATCCTGGTATCCAGATGCCATCTTGCCGTGATTAGGAGTGAGTCCAAGGAAGCCCTGCCCGGAGAGAGGAGGCTGCCCCCAACCCTCTCTGAGGCTGTAGAGCTGGCCAGTGGTGGACACAGACAGGGGGCCGCGGTGTCCAGCTCCTCTTTCCCCCATGCCTGGTTGACTCCCCTGGGCTCTGGGAGGCAAGACAAGGTAGCATGTGGAATTTAAGCCTATTCTC